AGATCCAACCCCCTGCATGGGCAGGGACACCTCCCACCAGCCCAGGCTGCTCCAAGCCCCATCCAACCTGCCCTTCAACACTGCCAGGGATGGGGCAGCCACAGCTTCCCTGGGCAACCTGGGCCAGGCTCTCACCACCCTCACACTCCACAATTCCCTCCTCATGTCTCACCCAAATCCCCCCTCTCCCATTTTTCATCCATCCCCCTTGTCCTCTCCCAGCAGGAAGGCAGGAGCAGTCAGCAAGGCCTGGGATGCCATCTAGTGTGCACTGCTGGGCTCATAAAGTGCTTATTTACTGCTCAGCTGACAACATCAAGGCCTCCTGCTCTGGGTGTTTTCATGAAGTTGCCCTCTGAGCAGCTCTTAATGCTTCAATAACTGCTCCAGGCTGGGCACACATCCAGTGCCAGGCAGGGGGTCTGTCTGAAACCAGAGGTTTGGCTCAGAAGCAAGAAGGAAGCAGGCAGGCTGGTGTCAGCAGAGGGTTTGCTCCTCCTGAGTGTCCCCAGCAGCAGAGAAATCCATGCAAACCCCCTGCAGAACACTGGGTTTCCTCTATGTTTGTCCCCCCTGTGCTCAGCACTGGTGAGGCCACACCTGGAGTGTTGTGTCCAGTTTTGGGCACCTCAATTCCAGAGAGATCTCGAGGTGCTGGAGCCAGGACAGAGGAGGCAACGGAGCTGGGGAAGGGCCTGGAGAATCAATCTGATGAAGGACACTTGAAGGAGCTGGGAATGTTTAGTCTGAGGCAGAGGAGGCTGAGGGGAGAGCTCATCAGTCTGTGCAGCCACCTGAAAGGTCATTGCAGAGGTTGGTGCTGGTCTCTTCTAATTAGTGACAGAGCAAGAGGGAAGGGCTTCAAGCTGCACCAGGGCAGGTTTAAGCTGGACATGAGGAACATTTATTCCCAGGAAGAGTGTTCAGACCCCGGAACAGGCTGCCCAGGGAGGTGGTGGAGTCACCATCCCTGGGTGTGCTGAAGGGTTGGGATGTGGTGTTGGTGGAGGTGGTTTAGGGGAGAGGTTTGTGGAGCAGGGATGGTGGTGGGACTGGGGGATCCCACGGGGCTTTTCCAACCCGAATGGTTCTGTGAGTCTACGATACAGGGTAACAAATTGCTGCCTAACCCTGCCCTTGTGATCTGCCCTCGAGCCTGGCAAAAAACCCCCAAAACAAACAAAACAAAACCAAAACACAAACCCCAGCGGGGAAACAAAAAACACCCTGGAGCGGCTCCCCGACGTGCCACAAGTGCCACCCAGTGCTCGGGAGGCCGCGGGTGCCCTCCCGGGGACGGACGTTCCGCTCCCGGGCCGCGCAGGCGCCGGCGGGACCTTCCGGGCCGGGGCGGTCGGTGCAGCGGAAGGTCCCGCCCGCGCGGTGCGGGAGCGGCGATGAAGGTGGCGGTGGCCGGGTGCTGCCATGGCGGCCTGGACAAGCTGTACGAGACGCTGGAGCCGCTGGCGCGTCCGCCCGAGAC